CCAGGTGGCTTCCAGAGAGGCTAGGAGCCACCCTGAGAGAGCTCCTTAGCAACAGACTGAGAAAAGCTGCACCGAGAGATGAAATTGTAGGGACAGAGGACTGGAGAGTGCAGCTCCATGACAGATGCTTGCAAAAGGGAAGGAGCCCAGGGAACCAGTGAGGGATCCTGAGAAATAGGCCCTCACTGCTTATCAGGTGGAACGCATGGGCTGGAACCCAGAGAAGGGGGCAGGCCTGGGTTCTCCTACCACATCAACACAGGAGAGAGTAAAGGGGCAAGGACTAATGAGTCTAGATCAGGACTAAAGGCCTAGTACATGGTCACTAAGATCTCAGGTTTTCATTTGGACTTTGTTACCCCAGGAGCAGTAATTTTCTAAGCATCCTAAATGGAGGGCTGAGTTGCAAGAAGGAACAGACTACTGAGTAGCTGCAGGCAAGGGACGACAGAGACAGAAAGGATGCTATGCTCTGCCCACCCATGAGGTGGCTGAACCTTCTACATTAATTTTTAACGTTTTTTGTTTTAAATTACAAATAAAATTAAAAGAAATGTTGAAACAAAAATTCATTGCAAACTGAAAAATTGAAACATTTCATTTTGAAAATATTGAAACAATGTTTTGAGGGTTCGAGGCACATTTTTAGGCCCCCTTCTCCCCCCCCTAAAAAAATGAACTGTTTGGTAAAAATCAACATGAATTCATGAAACTATTTGGTCGCTAAATATGCACTTTTTTTTTGGATTAAAAAATTGTTTGAAAAGGTTTTGTCCAGTTATCGTCTTTAGGGAGGTGGGACCTGTGCACATTTGTTTTGATAAGTGGTTTGTGAAGGTTTAAAGTTTCAGAAGCACTGATGCATCTTAAAGGAGCAGTTGGTAGGCACTCAGATGATGATGTTGGGTTGATTTGGGGCTTGTTTAGTTTTGGCTTTGGGGTTTTTTGGTGCTTTACAGTTGGAATTTTGGGAAAACCACATCCCTGGCAAGACTGTGTTTGTTGGGAAGAGCTATTATTCTGTTCTAGCAAAGCTCAGTTATAGTTGCCCTTGCACTGGTAAAGAGAGTTGAAGACCTGTGAGAATTTTAATTGCTCTTGTAGGCTGAATTTATACCTACTGCTCTGTTGTTGTTGTTGTTGTTGTATTAAATTCCATTATTTCTGCAGCGCACAGGAGAAAGCCTTGACTTCCTGTAAATAATGACTTGGTGCAGTCTTCATAATGGAGAACTGACATAATATGTTACTTACAGCACTAAGTACTTAACAGAAACAACAGTAATGCCTCATGAATGTCTTTTGATATAGCTAAAGGGCTTTGACTTTTTAATTTTAAGGTAGTTAATCATCAGTATTGAGAAAAGCTTTTATATTGTACACAGTGTTTTAGTAAATGGAAGGAAGATATTCCGTTGTAGGATTTCAAAGTGCTGTATAAATATTAATGAATCAAGCTTCAAAACATCCTGTGAGGTGATTAAGTATAATTATCATTGTTTTGAAGAATGGGAAACTGAGGCACAAGATGATTAAAGTACTTGCCCTAGATCACAGGAAATCTATGGCAGAGGTGGACATTGAATGTAGTCCCTTGGCTTTTATCCTTCCTTCAATAATTGGAAACAGCATCCTGAGAGTTTGGGGAGAAAAACAGTGAACTGAAACTGAATTTCTTTGCTAAAGTTTTTAAAAATGGGGCTACATCTGTTAGTTGTAATTTGTTTTCACTATCTAATTTTTCAGTTCAAATATGCATGTATTCGTTGATAAATGAGGTACCTTTTGACTATGGTGATGACTACTCAATTTGTGAGGTCCTGTGAGGAATTAAACCCCCAAATTAGTATTAAGATAAAGAAAAATATTTTTTTCCCTGTATCAGTGTTGTTTTAATAGCTATTTTTATTTTTTTATTCAGATTGATGAAATTAAGCCATTGTTTGAACAGGGATTTTTGCTTATTTGCTAATTTGCTTGACAGCAGATTAGAGAGTTAGAACCAATTTGCTTTGAAATTTAAGATGGGATGTGTGAATCTCTGTACTTATAATTAAGCCATAGACTTCTTCAGTTCCACATCTACATTAAAAAATACTTTTATTTGTTTTGTTATGGGATTTTTAAATTAGAACTTTATAAAATGGTCAATGGCTTTATTGTCCAGCCTTTGATCCAGTTCATGATCAAAAGATCTTGTGATCATCTTAATGAAAGTGACATAATTCATCTAGACCATTTGATATTTTGGAACTGCTTCACAGATTGCTGACAATCAGCTATATTGGGTTATAGATCTGCTGAGTCTGTTGGATTTCTTTTTTCTTCATAACATCTGCTGAGTTGGGATAAAACCCCTGATTTTCATAAGAGATTACCTAATCAAGCCCAATTAGGTGAAAGGCCTACCAAGGGTTGCCAACTTTCTAATCACACAAACCCAAACACCCTTGCCCCACCCCTTCCCCAAGGCCCTGCCTCTGTCCCTCCCCTTCTGAGGCCCCGCCCCTTGTTCTCCCCGCCCGTCACTCACTTTCACCGGGCTGGGGCAGGGGGTTGGCTCTAGGCTGAGGGGCTCGGAGCATGAGAGAGGACTCCGGGCTGAGGCAGGGGGTTGGGGTTCAGGCTCTGGGAGGGAGTTTGGGTGCAGGAGGGGGGCTCAGGGCTGGGGGTGAGGGCTCTGGCTGGGGGTATGGGCTCTGGGGTGGGCCAGGAATGAGGGGTTTGGGATACAGGAGGGGGCTCCGGGCTGGGGCCAAGGGGTTGGAGTGAGGGAAGGGGTGCAGAAGGGAGTGCGGGCTCTGGGAGGGAGTTTGGGTACTGGAGGGGGCTCAGGGCTAGGACAGAGGGTTGGGGTGCAGGAGAGGGTGGGGGCAGTGCGCAGAGACCCCCTGGCCACCCCTGCGCGTAGGAACCAAAAGGATGTGCTGGTCGCTTCTGGGAGCCGCGCAGAGCCAGGGCAGGCAAGGAGCCTGCCTTAGCCCCACTGCGCCATCAACCGGACTTTTAGCAGCCCAATATCTCCCAGATTCCTTTCAATAGCCATCGGGAGAGCGATGCCGATTGCAGTAAACTCCCGGCCAGTCTGGGAGGGTTGGCAGCCCTACTTATAACTCTGGTGGGAAGTACCTTATTCATGGAACTTCACTACAAGAGGAGCTCCTAGGGAGAGGCATGGCCATGAAAAGTGGCAACAGGAGCTGACTCAGTGTCCTTGCCTGTACAAGCACAGCTCTAGCAGCCTTGTCTCAACTGTAAGATTATTCCATGAATATTAGTTTCATTTTGGCTCTGAGTCCCACACTGTTTTCCAAAGGGTGACGATGGCAGACTGATTTGTGTTCCCGAGAGAGACTCTAGAAAAAGTCTACAATTAACTTGTTTTGTACCTATTAAAATTACTTTGATGTATTTCTTACCTGAGGATTTTTCTCTGCGACTGCAAATGTGCTTGAAAACACTCTTTATTAGAGAGAAGAATTATCTGTTTATACATCCTTGCTCAGAGAGAGATGCTTTAGTCAATGTTTTAACATTGATCAGTTCCTCCCATTAGCATATGCCCTCAATACTGGGTTTAACCAATTGGATATTAGGAACTTATCGACTGAACTTAACTAAGTCAGTCTTTCCTGTGAAGCAATGTAATTACGCCTGAGATCATGCCAGATCCTCAGGCCCTAAGTTAGCAGCAGAGCAGGTCTCGGTCGTTCTACCAATAACAGTGCTGTAAAACTAGCAAGCTGACAATTATTCAAACATTGCCTTCTCTTTTAGTATCAGATTACAATACCAATTTTGAGCGAACAAAGTATAATTCACACACTACCAGGAGGTGCATATAAATATTTTCTGCTGTTGAAAAATGTGCTAATTTGTATTTTTACTATGAGATTTTAAAAACAAAAGGATAAACACTTGAAATATCTAGAAGAGTAAACTTTGCCTTACATGCAAACCAAGCCTGATTCCCATAGTTGATTTCAACAAAATTAGTAAGTGCTCAGCAAGAAGAGGTAGATTGCTCAGAACTTTTAAAAATCAAGCAACTTTTGCTAGAATGAAAATTATACTGAGCATTTTTATATATTAATACAGTACAATGTAATAACTATGCAGATACTACTCTGAACTTTGTTTAACTGTGTAATGTTGGACAGTTACAGGCTTATGCTAACACTTTTAACTCTCTGTACCCATTTATTCTATTGAAATTAACACAACAGCATCTAACCTGCTTAGGTCCTTTTGAAAATCCTACTGAGACTCTATTTGCATTATTAAGCAACTAAATACTTTTGAAAATCTGGCCCAAGGTCCTTGCCCATCTTTGATGTTACTCCTGTTACAAGACAGGAGTAACCTGATGGATGCATAACAGCAATCACATTAATGCAAGCTGACTGGGTTTTTGCATTCAAATTTTTCTTTGGCATTTATCTTTTTATAGAATTTTTTCCAAAAGCAAAAATTTTCACAAATGAAGAGCTTCAGTTTTGAAAAATCCTACAATGGGTGACTAAGCTAATCAATTAAACATGGAATGCAACCTTTCTTCCCCTTCCCCCCCCAAAAACAAAACAAAAAGCCTTGAAAATGAAAAAAATGAAAACAACCTCCCTGAAATAGCAAACACACACCAAGAAATAGCATAGAGAGAGAGAAGAAAAAACTGAAGAACAAACTAAACTCTCATCAAGTTTCCATCCATATTTTTTTTAAATGAAAAATTTCAAATGAAACCAAAATGGTTTTGCAGACTTTTTCATTTTTTTTTAAAAGTGTACTTTCTTACATTTTTTTGTATGTGGAAAAACTTTTGATCAGCACTACAATTTAATGGCAACATAGTATAATTCTTAATATAAATGCTTTGTGTGAAAAATAGACTTGTGCATAATTTTGCATCTTTGATTGTAACCAACTGAATATGCATGTCAAAAAATGAATGAAGGCTATGTTAATATTTTCTGTAATGCCATATGTACTTCTCTTTACAGGTGACTGTTACAACTATTGGTTATGGGGATAAGGTACCTCAGACGTGGATAGGAAAGACCATTGCATCTTGTTTTTCCGTGTTTGCTATCTCATTTTTTGCCCTTCCTGCGGTAGGTTCTCTTATGGGTTATTTCCTGACAGTTTGTTCTTAAATGAATTAATGGACCATTGCATCATTTATGAATATTTTCAATGTGCCAACATTTTTTAAAAATATCAAAAGTAGCTAAAAAGAATTTTTGTGTTTCCTTATTAATTTTATACAGTGTTCTATTTGGTGCAGTCTACATTTGCTAGAGTTTAAATGAAAATACCTTTCTCTTCAGGTTTTAGAGGTGTACAATTCATTAAATTCACATGGAAATCATTTTTGTGAGTGCACTAATGCTGATGATCTAGTTTTTTAAAGCCCCAGTGCATCAAAAGCACTTCAGCATGTGCTTAAGTGTCATTGATGGCAATGGGTTTAAATACTCTGCTGAACAGGGATGAATTTAAGCATGTGCTTTGCTGAATCAGGAGATTTAAACCTTTATTAGAATATGCATAGAAGTATTTTAACAGGTATAAATTTGCATTGTTTTTGTCTGTTCTTTTCCATTCTTATCTTCACCCCCCTTTCTATTACTCAGAAATGATCTTTGATAAATAAAATGACTTGTAAAGCTATTTCTTTGGTTCTGATTTTTTTCTGAACTTAATGTCTTCAGAGATGTTTTTAAAGTAATTATTCTGACGTCTTTATGTCCATGAACATGCTTATAACTTGCCTGGCAGATTTCCCAGTTAGTTGTAGCTGTAAAATAAGTTTATTTTCAATGTTATTTTGATACAAAGGAGAAATAATTAATCTGTTTTTTGCATAGGACAACTAACAAAAGTTAGGTGTTGTCCTCCTGGTAATAATAATTGGTTTATAATAAGCCTTGTATGCTTCTACCTTGTCCTAAGAGCATGTTCAAAAAGAAATACTAATGCAGCTAAACACAACTGGAATGGGTCTTTGGGTCTACTGCAAACCCTTAATAATTCCAATACTAAATGTAGCATGGTTCACTTGTTTAATTGTCATCGCCTCTGTGACCTCTGTTAAATGAATTTCAGAGAGAACAAAATGCATTTCCTATTAATTTCTAACTGGAACATTTGATGAGCGGCAGAGTTCAGTACAGTAAAGCCAAGGTAGCCAGCTGCCCTGTTGTCTTGCCTACACTGGCATAATTAGAACCCACTATTCTCTAGTGGTGCAGTTGGAGGCCATAGTGTAAACAGGTCTCAGTTGTTTTTACCACTGTGCTGTTAAACCTTACATTAAATGTCTCCACAGAGGAGGTGATAACTAAACAAGTGAACTGGACTACGCTTACTTTTGGAATGGTTTACTAGACCTCATATATTAATTGCTCTTGAGTCGGGTCAGATGACATGGCGGTAAACTCACCTGAGTCCTGAAAACACTTCAGCTTCCACCATTGCTACCACTGGTGGAGAATCATAGGCCCCAATTTTCCTACTATAGATGCATCCAAAAAAAGCTTGCTTATGACTTAATAATACATGGACTTCTCATCACACTGAAGGGGTAGGCAAATCAGGGTAAAGACACTCTTTCAGATTTGACTCTTCATCTGCACAAGCAGTTATGTGGTTTTCAGACTGTGAAATACCATCTACGCTTATTCTCTAGAGGGTTGATCCAAAGCTGAAAGATTTCCATTGACTTGTATGGGCTTTGGATCAGGCCACAAAAGAACTAACATTTTAAGTTCCAAGAAGAAATACTAACCGAGACTGAAAACTACTGCATATTAAGTCATTTCCCCTGAATAATTATCTAAGTTGTTTATGATGCCGAATAAAACTTTATTAATATGATGTAATTTGGCCAGAGTGGTGAAATATTTTTTTTTCTAAACGTTAGATCTTTATTTTCTTTCTTCCCTTAGGGAATTCTCGGTTCAGGCTTTGCCCTGAAAGTACAACAGAAACAAAGACAGAAACACTTTAACCGTCAAATCCCAGCCGCTGCATCTCTCATTCAGGTACCTGGACTGCTATATTTTAAATGCATTTGTTTTCTCCCTTTTATCTCAGGCTGAGTGTTTTTTTTTTTTCAAAGCTGCCTGAAGGATTTGGACACCAAATTCCCATTTAAAAATTAATTGGGAATCCAGATCTCCTAGGTGACTCTGAAAATCCCATCCTTAAAGGGAAAATCATGGCCAGAGCAATTGGAAATATTCTCCACAAAAGACAGTGCAAACAGTTCAGATTAGCTGTTTTAAATTTCTTGCAAAAAAATATCCTGTGATGGTTGGTTGTCTGATACAAGAATTGTTAGAGCTGAACTCTTTTATCTTGCAGCAACTACAAATTAGAGCTGTGCAGTTACCAAAATTTCTATCCTACAGAAAATTTTGCATTTTCAATAAAAAAACAAATGAACAAACCAAAACCTATTACAAATCCAAACAAAAGGTCAGTTATGCAAAATTTTCCATGGGATGAACACTTTCAAAAAAATTCCAATTTGGAGGAACTAAAATGGAATTTTTCAAAAATTTCTGGTCTGAGCTCTCTGGGCCCCCAGGAACCCAGCTCGCCTGGGGAGCCCGGGGAGCCTACCAGGTAGGTTGCCATGGAGATTGGGAGCACCAGCTTCCAAGAGCCTTGCCAAGTGGACAGTTGGGGAGCCAGCTTCTCAGGGAGTTGACTTCCTGGGAGGTCAGGAAGACCAGGAAGTCCCATTTTACAGATAGGGACCTGAAGCACAGGATAGGTTAAGTGGTGTGCCCAACCAAGGTCACACAGGGAGTCCGTGCAGAGCGGGGAATTCAACTGAGATCTTTTGAGTCCCAGCCCAGAGGGCTTCCTATGAGCCCATCCTTCCCTCTTCATGTTGTCCTGACCCTGCTTATTGCAAATAAAAGATGTGGTTAAATAAAGAACATTTCTCCCCCTTTTTTGTTTATCAAACAATTTAAAATTAGATGGATCGAATTTACAAAATGAGGATTTTCCACAACGCCAAATGATAAATTACTCTTCATTTCTGAAGGAACCTGAACACATCAATAATTTCTAATATCCTCTTTAACTTTCAGGAAAATCACATTTTAGAAGCTCTAACAATGAATCTATTGTAATAATTGTACTGCTAACATTTATTTTAGACTGCATGGAGATGCTATGCAGCAGAAAACCCAGACTCTTCTACATGGAAAATATACATAAGAAAACCTGCCAAAAATTATCATTTGATGTCACCTAGTCCAAAATCAAAGAAATCAGTAATGGTATCGGTAAGTAACCCTGGTTTCCTTTCCCATTTTGGTAGTTCATTGAATACATTTGCTTGGTAGATTAAATGGAATTTGCTCATTCTCCAGAGGCTATAAATTGTATTTGTATTACAATATATTGCTTGAACTTAAAGTTTTGTTTTTTAAATGAACAATGGGATTTTCCAGATAGAAACATTTATATCTGTAGTTTACTTTGCTGCAATTCACTGGTTTGATTTTGATGGACATGAGAGTTTTGAGGGACACAGCAGTGACATAACTCACTTATATCAACCAGTAATTGAATGCAGGACACTGCAAAATAATGAGTAATGGGAAGATAAAGCGAGCACTTGCCCTTGCAATGATAAAATACTGTGCTGCTCTCAAATATTATTCTTATGGCTCAATCTGCCCCTTTGGTAATAACACAGTGTGTTTATATACAGTAGCCTTTCATGTCAAATAATATATGTTCTTATACAAACACAACTGTGTATATACAGTATAATTAAAATAAATACCTAGTAGGTAGACTGAACTGTATGAGGCAGATAAAATTGAGTTCCACTTGATTTATATGATTTGGGAGTGTTGGATAAAACCTGAAAAAAATGAAGTCCTATTTGCTTTGCCTCAAGCAAGAGGACCAAATTTCCAAAGAGCAGAGGCCCTCCTAAACTTGCATTACGCAAACGTGCACACACCCACATTTGAATAATTGTCTGCAAATACCCATTTGTGTATCCGGCTACCCAGTTTGCATGTTCTTACAGACACAAGGGGGCTTCCGCTTCTTAAGGAATTGCCATTCATGGTCCCAGAGTACTACTTTATAAGAATTTTGTCTGTGTGTCCTTGGCTAAAATGTCCTGTTCCCCCAACTTTGTGGAGTGTGCTAGTTAGCTGCCTCTTTCTCTCCCTCCACCCCAGAATTAGTTGCACCTCAGTGATATTCTATGTAAACGGCTTGTAAAGCACTTCAGAATATTTTGCTATGAGAGGCACTTTGCAAAAATACATTTATATTATGCATTACTTCACCCATTCCGATTGCAGCGGTTTTTCAGTGCAGCGCAGAAGTATGTAACAGGCTTGCCCGGGAAGTGAAAAAGAATATTGGGCCAGATCCTTACCTGGACTAAATAGGCATAAGTCAATTAATGTCAATAGAGTATGTCTGTTTGCAGCAGTCGAGGATCTGGCCCATCGTAGCCATGAAACCACAAGTGCTTTATGTAGGCAGTATGATAAACTTGTTTTACCTTCCGAAAAATTATTTTGATTTCCTTTCCTAATTTGCCGTTATCTTTATCAAGCCACTTTTGTCTAGTTTATAATAGCTGAATTAGGAGGATACTATGATTCTTCAGCACAGAAGCCAGTACCTGTTTATTTTAAATGTGTTATCGAATAAAGTTTGTAACATACATGACTCATTGTTGAATTAGCAGGTTTTTTTACTAATAATTCCAATATGTATGATCCTAGGAATTATCCTGTTTAAAAAAATCATCTTGCGAAATAAGCTGGCAATGATAATGAGAATAACAATCTAATATTTGGAGTGTCTTTTCTTGAAGAACCCTAAAACACTCTGCATTCTTTTACTGAGGGAATTTTGCAAACTACATACTAGAGAGAAGCTGAAATCTTAACCTGAAATCAGCGCTCCTTCAGATTTCAGAGAGGAATTGGATTTCAGTCCTGACCTCCTGTCTCTACAGTTTTAGTTGCAGGTTAATTCTAAACGTGGACATGGTCTATTTTCAGGCTATGGTTCAGATGAAGCCAAAATCAAACCGGTGATTTTGTGAGATTTCTGTCATTTGTGACTGAGTGAAGTCTGACCAGAACAGCTAAAACCATCAAATTTGAACCCAAAACCTTTATGAAACCTTAACTGCATCTGAATACTGCTTATCTCTACTAAATATACAAAAGGTGAACACCAGTAGAAAAACTCAGATTCACGTTTGGATCTGGTTGTGAAAGTTCAAGAAGTTTCAGATCCGATGTCCTGTTTTTGATTTTTCTCTAATAATATATACCCCCCCAAACACACACACACACACGTAGAAATTATTTAAGGTTGCAAAATCAAACACTAAAAACTCAGGAAATGCTAGAATTAAAATTGCTTGTGCAACCTTAATTCTGCACCCTTGCAAATATGTATTATTATATAATTGTATGACACATAATATTTCCATAGACCCCTGCCTGATTTAGCACACAGGATGATGCTCTGTGAATGCAGCCAGGATTGTGTATGAATGAATGAGGCTAAGAAGAGTAGTGTGGAGTATGAGGCTTGGCTCAACAAACAAGAGTTATGAAGGTTATAGAAGTCTTAACACCAGTTAGTAAAATGAGATATGTCTACAGTTCATCGTCTCCTGGCTTCTAGCCCAGTGCACCTTCCCATAGATAAAAAGGAATTTTGTTGGGAAAAGCAGTGGGAAAATTCATTTTGTCTGTGTCCTGCCTGTTTGATGGTTCCATTCTATGCTGCATGCTGAAGAAATACCGTGGAGAGCATGCTCAGTGTGGGTGGAAGCTTGGATGATGTAACAAGCCTCTGGCAAGCTCTGTTGATCAGAACAGACTGCTGGTGGCAATATTCAATATCTTGGAACTCTGCCAAATCTGAATGGATTTTTGTGCGCACATCAAAAGGCACCTACTTGACCTCAGGACTACCCCTCTGCTAAATTTCAAAGTTGTGCCATATACCACTGGAAGCATTAGAATTCAATAAAAACTTATCTTGACTCTAAAAAAAAAAAAAAAAAAAAAAAAAAAAACCAAGGGAGGAGGTAAGCAACCTTCATAAATAGGAATAACATCTCAGCTGAAATACAGCTGTTTCTGAAGTGAAATGTGATCAACGTTTTAACAATGGAAAGTAACACAAATGTTGAGGACCATGAAGCATGTCCCCCGTGGTGTAGCATGCACTGCAGTCAACAGGCCACAGTTTCCCTCCTGAGTTTTCAGTGACTTCCTTGGCCATCAGCATGGTTTCATTTGCTGAGGTGAGTTGGCCCTCCAGCTAAGTCACAAAAGTCCACCCCTTCTGGGGTATTCAGAGTCCAAAGGAAAACACTAATCTTCCATCATGGATCTGTGCCAGGCACACAGTAGTCTCTGACCCTTCTTTTCCCAAGCTCAACTTCCAGCCCTCCTGGGCTCTGGTTAGTCCTTTCCTCCTCCCCTTAACAACAAGGCTCATTGCACACTTTACCAGGGTGGCAGCATTGAGGGAATCCATTCCCACCTTCTACAATGGGTTCCAGGCCCTGGGAGCCCTAAATAAAAGGTCTTTCTGCTCCCTGTAGCCAGAGCCTGATTTACACCTTCTGTGCCGCTAGGCACAGCATCTTCAGCACCCCTCCTGCCTACAGCTGACCTTCATGTTTTCCTTAAAAAATGAAACATTTAACCCACTTTTAACTTTTAGGCACTTCTAGAACACCGGCGCCCCTAGGCATGTGCCTACTGTGTCTAATTGGAAATCCAGCCCTGCCTGTAACCACAAGCTGCCCTGCTTCTTCTTCACAGGCCTCTTATCCTCCCTGGGCTCAACCCTCTTTGCCCCTAAAACAGGGTGACCACATCCCTCCTTCCTGGGGCTATGCTGTAACCCTTATTGGCTTTCCTGGCTTACCCTCATGGGGGTTCAGTTTCTGCCCCAGGGAGCCTTCCTCTGAGTCTTCCTGGACTCTAGATTCACGAGTGCTATTCCTCACTACCTTCAATCATGTTGTGACTGAGCTCCATGCAGTTGTTCTATGAGCTGAGTGTTAATCACCTGACTAAATACCTGGCCTCCATTCCCAGCTTGACAGCTGACTCTCCCAGAGAACACTTTTCCTTAAAGGGCCATGCCTTAGAACAGGGTTTTGCTGATCCAGGCCCCGCTGCCTTTAAAGGAGAAAGACTACGGATGGGAAATGAAAGATAGTACTATAATCCAACTGGAAGGAGAATTCAGATGGGCAGACTGCATTTACTCAACTTAGAATTTGGCCAGGACACCAGGATTAATATCCTACTCTTGTGAACATTGTCATGGGAGTTTTTAATGAAAACAAATGGTCAGACTCCCCTCTGTGGTTAATCTAATCAAGTAAATTTCATTATTGAGGAGGCACTCTAGTGTGTGTTCTTACAAGAGATCTAATTTGTATTCATATTTTTAGGTGAAGAAGAAGTTTAAGACCGAGAAGGACAATGGACCTTCTTCTCCAGATAAAATGTTAACTGTTCCACATATCACTTATGACCATGTGATGGATGATAGGAAGTCTGACTTTAATATTGATGCATATGAAAATTCTGGTAAGAAATTCCTTTATAACATACATTAAAATACTGGGCTATGGACTAATTACACAAAGGATCCTAGTTACGATGGTTAAAAGTGTGTATGTGTAGGAGAGGGGATTGTGGTACTACCGCCTCCCTCCCCCTTTCTTAGGAGTCCAAACAAGGATTATTTTCTGTTTGGCTTTGGCCACTGGCTAGTCTTGATGAGGCCCAATAACTCTCCTCATGAAAATGCTCCACTGCAGATAGGCCAACGTTGAAGGTTTCTCCTATCTGACAGGAGAGCTAAATTCTCTGCAACTGATGCCAGAGCCACCTGGTACTTAAGTCAATAGGAGGTACTATAGTTGGCCACCAACTCATCCTCCTCATCCCCTCTTGAGGTCCCTTCCAGTCCTACGATTCTATGGTCTCTTCCCAGACTAAATTCAAGTGAGCCATATCCACAGTATGCTAACACCCAAACTTTAAACAATGACCCATGGCTGCTCTTGAAATCTGGTTTGTCACTGCAAACCATGTATGCCCGATTCCCGTCCTGGGGTTGGTTTTGGAGTTAGAAAGCTATTACTTCAAGTTCATATAATGTAGTATTATAATAATATCATTTAGCTGTTATATATAGCACTTTTCATAAATGCAGATGGTCTTCTGTGTAATTCATCAGTGTAGATTTCTTTTGTGGGACGGAGCCATAAAGAAGGAGAACGGAACCGGTTTTATAGTCCTGTTGCAATTACAATCTTGTTGCTTTTAAAGTTACACTGTAAATTCATCAGTTATTTTACATATGATTTCTTTTTAAAGTTATTAGCATATTGTATTAAAAGCTGTTAACTTCTGTGTTTTAATTCTGGCAAAAAGAATGTTAACTGAAGCAAATGAGGTATAATTTTTAAAGGTACATTTTACAGATCATATAGATTTTTAAGCTCTTAAATTTTTTATTTAGAAAGTTGGCTGACTTTGTTTAAATTTAATGGTCATTAAAATGAGGAGGAGATTGCAGTGTTTATTGAAACCAGGCATATTTTAGTTCAGGCAGGAAGTCTAATCTCCTTATGTCATTCTGGTGCACAACAGTCCTGATCCGCATCTTCCCTGCTTTTTCATTCCTCCTGGGCTTCTCCTGAGTAACAATTGCCACTTAAACTCAGTTGTGCCAAATGCTATTGTAATTAGCAGGTGAACAAGGACAAAGTTGACTCTGTGGATCAACCATTGAGAAATATCTTCCCGCGAAACAGCACAGTGTGAGAGCTTTATGAATGCCTACATTTGCCAGGTCCCATCTTTGAAATTTTTGAGTCCCTAAAACTACTAAGGGGCCATATGATTTGCTGGCAAATACTAGTGCCCCTTCAGTATCAACTCTTTAGCTGTCAATCAAAAGTTTTCCTCTTATTTCTTCTGACACTTATTTTCTCTCCTTTTTATCTGTGTTCTGTCCTCTCAAAACTCTTACAAGTATACAGGACAAACAGGAATGTTCAAGTGGCTTGGTAAGTTGAGGAAAATAATTTTATATACAGCATGCCAGACTTTGACAATGTAACATAGTTTGCAGTGCTCTTGTATGTGTCTAGTAGCTTGCTATAATCCCTTCACTACACAAGACACATTGCCAGACAAAAATGTGCATTCTCACACATCTAATCACAATCACAATGTAATTAAAAAGCAGAATATCATGATGCTCTTTCATAAAATACTTGTTTATTAAGTGGCAGACACCCTCCATTCCCTTGCATCATTCATAACCAAGTTATATGCCTTTCTAAAGATGACCAAACAACCAGTGATTGAACCCAGACCATTTCCTAAACAAATAATGGGGCACCGGCAAAATTTCCAGGCACAACCTCCTGTGTCGTTCATACAAAATGCATGTGTGAGTGTTGCATCTATTAAAATGCACTTAGGCATCAGCGAAGATGGATGGGCCCTTAAAAATTAAATAATCCACTTTATCTTTTTTACAGAAAATAGCTGCGATCTGGATTCGTTGTCCCTTTAAGTCATTATGTCAGTGTGCTTTTTCTAAGTATGCTCATGGTGGAGCTTTCTTATGAGTGTTTCCTTATAACCCTTTCAATGAGTGATTCCAAAATATTTTTAGGGTTAGAGCAAGGGCTGTGCCAAACCATCAAGGCTTTAGTGAGAGTACCGTGAGACCCCACTTACAGTGGGGGCTGTCTCTGCAACCATTGAAGACAATGGCAAACAGCCATTGACTTAAGTAATAGAGAATTGAGTCCAAGTACTCCAGAACTTGGATTATGCTGTCCAAAAATGTACAGGGCTGAATTCTCTACCTGGCCCACACAGAACTCGGGCACAGTGGTGATGTGCGGAGGGGATGGGGGAGAGATGACAGGGAGCTAATTGTGGCTCCCTGATTCTGCTCTGCCCAGCCCTGGTGCAACTTAAAGCTGCAGGGGGAATGGAGATGTATCTTTAATTTGCACCCACAAAGAATCATCATAACAGAGCCTCTCTCCCATACCTTTTCCCTCCTTACCCAAGAAGTGCAATTCTGATGGTGGAATAGGCAGAGGAGAAGAGGAGTATGAACAGCATAGTCACCTCTGCTTGCTTTGTCACCAAGAGATTCCCCCAACACGGGGAATTCTCAGAGAGGGCTCTCCAGCAAGTATAAAATCATTTTGTGTTTCCTACGCAGGCATAAAATGAACTCGGTAGACCTGAGAATCTGGCCCACAGTGTCCTCAAAATGGTTTTAGGGGAGAAAGGAAGAAAGAGAGAAGAGAAGTATATATTTTGTACCTGAGTCTAGCATGGATACAATTATACACAAAAAAACTACATTAAAATAACATTAAGGTTGCAAAGTGAAGCATTCCAAAGGTAGGAAATGCTAGAATTAAGGTTACCTGTGCAACCTTAGGGATAGTCGTGCTCAGCCCCTGCAGCACTAGGCTGCAGCATGCTGAATTGTTCTGTGGGATGGTGCATTTGCAGTCCAGTCACCACGTAGGAGCAGTAAAGGAATGGCGCATGCTCCGTGCAGATGGACTCTTTGGAGAATTTAGCTGCCAAACTCTGGTACATCTCTTCTGTGCCTGTGAGCATGACTGAGGTGGAGTCTCATAAATTGGGCAGTTTTTCAAGGGAACAGCAAAAGACACATCCCTGACATCAGGAGGACATACCACTGCAAAGCATGGGAGGTGCCACAGTTTCTCAACAAAACAACTGCAAGAATGGTTTGAATGATGGCAAAACAACATATTTTTTAGCTAATCTCATTCTTGGAAACAACCGAACCATTTTGGCTGAAACTTCCCCAAGAAATTCAGCCTGAGGCAGACACCTAGTATGGGAAATTTCAGCCCAAATGGTTAAAGTTTGGCAAGGCTATAAGCAATTGAAAGCAGGTTGTTATAATGGGAAATGTCCACCTATAATATAATGTACTAAAGAGCCAAAAAAACGACAGGAAGTTACATTATGACCTCCAAGGGCCAGATTGAGTCTGGTCCTTATTTGGCTATACTGTTGTGAGAGGTAGCGCACAAGGAGACTTATCTTGCTGGAACTTGTATGGACAGTGGAAATGTCAGGCAGAATTACCTTCCCTACACTCAGGGGAATAGAAGGGAGGCTCCATCCCTATTCCCTGGGGGCACATGGCTCCACAAAGGGGACAAGGAGAAGGCATAGCTATGGCCACACCATGCTGCAGAACAGGGTAGGTGCATGAGGGAATATTAATCTACAGCCCATAAGAGTTTAGCAGTAGATCTTCTTCCACTGTGCATGGGAAGGTAGAGGGAGGCAGAATGCCTCCCCTTCTGGGGACTTAGTTTCAAATGATACTAAAAAGAGGCAGAAAATACTCATCAACGCATTTTACTTATATTTAATCAATAGTAAATGAAAAGACATGCATTAAAACTCCTTTCCTCAGTGGTTTTCCCTTTTTAATTTTAAAGATCACAGGTGCAACGCAGACTTTGCATTAAAGACAGACATGTTGCAGTCTCTCCAGCTGTCTCTTTTTTTCTCCTCCTTTTTCTGTCTCTTGTGTGCATCTTTGCTGTGACTCAGACCGTCAGCAATCCTGGGCATCTCTTTCCGCACAGCAGTCGTCCTCCAGTGCTCCTCCTTCTCCAGGTAATGCCCCCATTTCAATGATCCGTCTCCTTTGCAACTGCCAGTATTTCAATCTTTGCATTGCAAAGTTTGGACTTTGCCCATTATCTGAGGTAAAATGAGGTTTTACCCCTTCTCCCCTACCCCGCCCCCCAAAAATGTTGATTTTTTTTCCCAGTGGAAATTTTAATATTGAAAAATTTCAGCTGAAAACCAAAATATTTTGTTTTTCAGGCATTCCGGTTTTTTAACAAAAAATCGAAATGTTCCACAGAAAGCAGACACTATTCTTTTAGTTGAAAAACAGTTAAAACGGAAAAATTTAAACCAGCCCTATAAAAGACTTAACCTATTTGCCCATTGTATGTAAGCTGATAGTAAAATCATAAAATCCGAGTTGATTTCTTAAAATATCTTCTATTAATATATTGTAAAACATTTTTACTACAGTACTTTGGTATCCCTATGCAAATACCAGACTGTTGGAAAAATTCCTGTATAAATCTAGTGCTTGCTCCTTCAATCATTGGGATATTTAGGGTGGCAGAGACCTGTAAGTTTTCCAATTCTAATGGTTATAATGTTTTCCCTACAACTTAGACTAAATGTTCCTCGCTGCCTCTCTTGTCTATTTTGTGCTCTGGTTAATTCATGAACATTGATTCCTTTCTTTACAAAAACATCCTCTTTTTCTTTTTTTAAATATCTGTAGACAGTAATATCTAATACCTGAGAGGAAGCATATCCAGTGGTTAGGACCTGGGTTTCAAGTCCCTGCTCCTCCATAGATTTCCTATGTGACCTTGGGCAAGTCATTTAGCCTTTCTGGGCTTCCATTCTTCATTTGTAAAAACCTATTTCACAGTGAGAATAAGTACATTAAAGATTGTGAGTTGGTGAGATATTGCCATATAATTACCTCATATAAGAAGACCAAGAGCCAACCATTTACTCATTTTATTTTTTTATATCTCACATTAGGCTTGTAAGGATCCATACCATGGGGGCGTTTGAGCAGGGGAGACAGTAATTCATGGTTTTGGTACAGATTTTTTTTTTTTTAATTTTTGAATTTATCTGACCTTCTCCAGAGTTCATTGGACTGGAATTAGGACAGATTTTTCACTAGATCAGGTTTGCTTCTCCCTGCTTAGAGGAAGCAGTTGTGCACCGGCATTGGGGAATAGGAGTGGGTGCTTCAGACCAGGACTGGCCATGAACTGTTCCAGAAAATTCCAGGGGAAAGAAACAGGCAATAGCTTCACTTTAAAGTAAATATAATGCCCATGTTATTATCTTCTTGTTACTCTCAGGAGAGAGTGTATCCTTATATTTTTCAAATCAGGTGGGGGACAACCTTAATTTCTTCTTTCCTTTTTCATCTGTCATTTCTGTCCCTTTCTGTCTTAAACAGAAAAGCAGTAATTGTAACAATCCAACAATTACAAATCCTCTTGCAAGCAATGTCTCATGTGGGTACGGTATAACAAGTGCTTGGCAAGCACTGCATGTGGCTTTAAGTTCGATAACATTGTCGTTAGTAATCAGAATGTGTGAAGAGACTTTTAGACTTCTCCTTAGGAAACTGGTGAGTTTTCATCCACACCTGGCAGAACACTGAATGTTCAGTATTTATTTAGTAACAGCCAAAGAAGTCAGTTTAACAAAAAATATTTAAGGCCCTGTAAAGTTGTACATTTTCAGCTGGAATTCTTCTGCTCTTTTTCATAACCTCTGTCCTGACTGTGGCTGTGTTAATCCAACGGATATTACTCAGAATAAAAAGCTGATGCTGAAGTTCGCTGCTATTTGCTATATAATTCTCATTGCGTTAGTGCCAATATTGGTCCTAGAGTAATACTGTGGTCAAGGAACCCTGCTTTTAAGCAGCTAGTACTGGAGTAAAACCTTGCTGTATTTTTAAATTTTTCCAGATGTTCCCTATCTTGCTCCTATTGAAGTCAATGAAAGCAAAACCCCCATTAAGTTCATTGGGAGCAGGATCATGCACTTGATCTACTCCTTACAAATAAAATGGCCAAGAATTGTGAGTTGATCCCCTCCCTACACTTCCTGATTTGGGCTAGTCATCGAAGGAGGTGTAAATTGACATCATACTTTAATTTCAGGGTTATAAATCTTCCGAGGCCTGTGTGCATTGTGAAATGTTCATGACTTCTGGGATACAAGGCATAGCGGACCTGTGCCTTTAGTTAATGCTCCAAAAAACCTGCATTTGTGTTTATGTATTTCTGTGGTGTTTATTTTACTTTGTGTTTTAATCTTATTTCTCTGTGTTGCTGCTTGCTGTCAAACTGTAAAGTGCCTTGACAAGTATGAGAGATGCTCTGTAAATGAATAAATAAATGTTTCATAGAATGATATAGCTAGTTGCCCAGGATACAGTTGCTGTAAAGTGGCCGCCACTATCAACATTTATTCAGCTATTAAAGAATGTTGTTTGATGTTATTTCCTATTATTTGTTTGTATAACATCGTGCACATTTATGGTGCTGTATAAATATTATAATAAAATGTGACGTATAAGGAAATTTTATCACTGAGTCCTAATCACGGGTAAACATTCACTTTTTAATGTCTGCCATTGTAATTATACTCTAGAAAGTTGTTTTAAGGAAGAAACATGAGGTAGAAATTAATTTAAAAGAGAGAATTAAATTCTGCCATGGGTTATGCTCATGTATTGTTGCCTGAGCATAAATAAGATCGGGAAATGGTCCATAGTGTGTCAGATTCTTATCAGACAATATTTCTTAGTATCACATCTAAAGTATCCATCACTGTAGCATCTGAGTGTTCTTTATTTAAATGCTCAAATATGAGGGACACACACAAATGGGAAGTAGGTCTCTACTCCTGTGCTTCCCAGAACAATGATCATTTTAACACAAATGGGCCTGAGCTCCACCAAATGGAAAATTTTGTATTAGCTACCTGAACTGGAGGTTCTTGCACAGCAGCTTCTCCTTTGCTATAGGATTTGGCATTAGGGTGTCACATGAAGGAGAATCTGGGGAACTACAGACTAGTCAGCCTCACCTCAGTCCCCCTGGAAAAATCATAGAGGTTCTCAAGGAATCTATTTTGAAGCACTTGGAGGAGAGGAAGGTGATCAGGAACAGTCAACGTGGATTCATCAAGGGCAAGTCATGCCTGACCAACCTGATTCCCTTCTATGATGAGATAACTGGCTCTGTGGATAGGGGGAAAGCAGTGGACATGATACATTTTGACTTTAGCAAAGCTTTTGATATGGTCTCCCAAAGTATTCTTGCCAGCAAGTTAAAAAAGTATGGATTGGATGAATGGACTATAAGGTGGATAGAAAGCTGGCTACATCGTTGGGCTCAATGGTTAGTTATCAACGACTCAATGTCTAGCTGACAGCAGATATCAAGCAGAGTGCCCCAGGGGTCGGTCCTGGGGCAGGTTTTGTTCAACATCTTCATTAATGATCTGGATGATGGGATGGATTGCACCCTCAGCAAGTTCACGGATGACACTATGCTGGGGGGAGAGGTAGATACCCTGGAAGGTAGGGATAGGGTCCAGTGTGACCTAGACAAATTGGAGGATTGGGCCAAAAGAAATCTGATGAGGTTCAACAAGGACAAGTGCAGAGTTCTGCACTTAGGACGGAAGAATCCCATGCACTCTTACAGGCTGGGGACCGACTGGCTAAGCGGCAGTTCTGCAGAAAAGGACCTGGGGATTACAGTGGACAAGAAGCTTGATATGAGTCAACAGTGTTCCCTTGTTGCCAAGAAGGCTAACGGCATATTGGGCTGCATTAGTAGGAGCGTTGCCGGCAGCTTGAGGGAAGTGATTATTCCCCTCTATTCGGCACTGGTGAAGCCACATCTGGAGTATTGTGTCCAGTTTTGGGGCCCCCACTACAGAAAGGATATGGACAAATTGGAGGGAGTCCAGTGGAGGGCAAAGAAAATGATTAGGGGGCTGGGGCACATGACTTATGAGGAGAGGCTGAGGGAACTGGGCTTGTTTAGTCTGCAGAAGAGAAGAGTGAGGGGGGATTTGATAGCAGCCTTCAACTGCCTGAAGGGTAGTTCCAAAGAGGATGTAGCTAGGCTGTTCTCAGTGGTGGCAGATGACAGAACAAGGAGCAATGGTCTCAAGTTGCAGTGGGGGAGGTCTAGATTGGATATTAGGAAACACTATTTCACTAGGAGGGTGGTGAAGCACTGGAATGCGTTACCTAGGGAGGTGGTGGAATCTCCATCCTTAGAGGTTTTTAAGGGCCGGCTTGACAAAGCCTTGGCTGGGATGATTTAGTTGTGGTTGGTCCTGCTTTGAGCAGGGGGTTGGACTAGATGACCTCCTGAGGTCTCTACCAATTCTAATCTTCTATGATTCTATGATCAGATGTCGAAATTCTTGTGCAAGAAGAGAATTTCTAAGTCTCAATTTGCTTTCATTGCACCATTATCTTGTTTACAGATTTATTCTAGTATCCTTATTTTGTTTTTAAGTCTATCTTGTTTGTACCTTTTGAAATATTATAATATGTCCTCATAAGCAGTAAATCTGTTGAATAGCCCTTTTAAAAACAGCTACAAGCTACTGCTCTAACCCTTATCTGCTTATTTCCTCACAGTGAAAAAGAGTCCTGCATTTTTAGATGTGAACACGGTACCCTTCATGAGGACCAACAGCTTTGCAGATGAGCTTGACCTGGAGGGTGAAACATTGCTGACCCCAATAACTCACATCTCACAGTAAGTCACTAACTATTGAATCATGCAGTCATTGACTTTAGACTAGTGCAGTTGGAGGAGCTGAAATATGGCACTGATAGGGCTATCTCAGATATTTGTGTCAAACTGTTTTACCTTGAAGTTGGCATATTCTGTCCTGAGTGCCAATAAATCTTAATGTTGACTTAAAGAAGAGTTCATTCTTCTGTGACATGAGTTTCTGGTTTTTAGCTAATGTCCATGGACAGCTTGTGGTTGATAGTCTCAAAATTTTCCTAGAAAGATACTTTGTGAAGCGCTCTTCTATTGAGAATTATGTTACACTCAACACCATTCTCCAGAGAAATGTCTCCAAAATGTGTGTCTTGAAATGTTTCTTTCCTGAAATACAGGCCTTTTGTTTTCAACTGTAACCCCTGTAAAAGTGACTCTTTCAAGGTGACATACAGTAGAGAAAATGATCATTTGTGCCCTTTATTGCTGCTTTGTGATGTGTAAAGGTAGCCGGAAAATGGGTTGCACTTTTTGTTTGTTTCCTTTTAAAGGGTTCTGTTTGTCAGCTATGTTAGAAATATTAGGCCCTGACTTCCTATTCTGTGCTGGAGGATTCCTCAGAAGAGTGGAGATCCAGTGGGATTATGATATTACAAGAGAAAATGGATTGAAACCTGAGCAGTTTGAGAGGAGAAGGGATTTTTATTAAGACGGTTTAAAACTCTTCATGTTGTTTTTTGGTTTTGTTTGTTTGCTTTTATTAGCACCTATTTAAGTCAAACTCCTGACAGATGCTTGGGAGAAACCTTTTTCTTCATCCCTGCACTAGAGGACTGAGCGAGATTCTCCCACTCCAGTTCACAGAGTACTTCAGCAAAACCAGGCAAGAAAATTATTAACTGCTACTTTGCCTGCTGGTCTCTGTGTATTCCATGGTGGGTGTACACCTGTACTCCATGTGCCTGGAGTCAGAGAATTCTTGAAAGCAGTGTCCGTTGGTATGCACGTGTGCCTTTGTTCTCCTTGTACCTCCAACTGAGGAGGTAAAGGACAGAGCGGTCTGATCTCCTCTCCAGTTCCATCTTAATCACTGCATGGCCTGAGTCAGAACAGTCAGACCCGGGTTGGGGGACCTGGCCTGACTCAGCAAGGAGGCTGCCTCCTGTGCCATGAGGTTTGACTTAGGAGTGAGGAAATCTGCTCCCACAGATCCCCCATTGGGGTCTTATCGGGAAGGCAGGGAATGCTCTGATAAGCATGAGAAAGACCTTTCTCTAAGTTGACTTCAAAGAGGTCTGATCCAACCCAGCCTAAGTTGAGTAAGATCTTCCTGCTTAGCTCATGAGGATTTAGAATATCTTAAGTCTCAGGGTCATGACAAGAAAGTCCACAAATCCAGGACTTTGTTGGAACCGGACTGCAGTCTGGCAGCAACACTGGAACTGATGGCACCAATAAAAGGCTACCATTGGGAGATTCAACCACTGATGGTACTGGCACTGCCTCTCCTGACTGTGGCGCAACAAACTCTAACTGCTCCCCCTCCCCCACTAAGTAAGCTTCTTTTGCGAGAATGGCAGAATTTTACAGCAAACAAAAGGTCTACATTGTCAGCTAAACTGTTTAAACACTCATGTACTTGTGGGAGGAGAAATGTGAGAATCTTGTGCTGAAAGATTTCTTATTCGCTCAATCAGAAGGAGGAAGTAATAAATTTTCATAGGCCTTCAGGCAGGAATAACTGAGGAGCAAAACCAGATCTGACATTTTCCTTTGCATATTTTGTTTTAATTCACCACACGAGTCATGGACTTGTTTCTTTTAAAATAAGCTTTGGGGTCAAGATCTTCTGAGTATCCTCCTTGGACTTGGGAGTCACTCAGCAATAAAATGGTATGCTTATAATTAGATCAAATAACTGGTGTTCCATTTCAGAAAGTTTTTTTAATTTGTGAAAACTTGCAGCAGAATTCCTTTGCACGTATACATTCATCAGCTGAAGATCCTCTCATTACATCAGCAACCTAGTTTGTTAGCAGCATGCTTGTTTCTCATTTTTACTTCCTAATTCCTCAATCCGAATCTGTGGTATAATCCTGCAGATGCCCTAGTTGTGAGTGCCAAAGTGCTGCAAAATATATCTCTTTTTATAGATTATGATATTGAGCTTCTCTAATGTTAACAATGAAAGAGAGTTTGCTAAAGAAGATACAAATGGGTAGGACTTTTTTTTTTCTTTAAAAAAATCTTGTTTCAAATTACCAAGGATGTAATAGCCTTAGACAATGGATGTTAACAGATTTTTAAAGTTCTGTTTCACTTAGATGTTGTGCATATCACTTATAATGCAATGCATATATGTCCTGAAAAACATAAAGTAGTCCTAAAAATGAGAGGGCATCAGACAAGGAGGATGATTTGTACATTGAAACTTTCACAGTTTTGTACTATCAAGTAATGTGTTGTGTATGTCAAGCAATAGATCTGATCAAACATTTGGGGGGGACGACACCCAAAGAATTTACGCTTGGCTTTGCTAGTGAAACAAGTGGTGTGCTTATGTGGATTATTGAAAAACAAGCTGCTGTATTGCATTTTAGTATATATGTGATACTATGATCCTAAGGCAAGTTATGGTACTACTAAACTTTTGATTGGACTTTTCCTTGCATTATTTGGACACATGCTTCTTTCTCATTCTTCCCGTCAAACACTATAAGGAGCAAATGTATATAAAATTGTTACATGTCATCCATTCCATGTGTAGGACCTGAAAGTTCGGCGTCCGGATATAATGTTAGATGTGAAATTTAGGACTGAGCAATATACATACTGTCTAACAAGTGCCCACTCCACACCCATTGTACAATTTGTGATATAATAAAAACAAAAGTGGTTTGTGGTTACAGATCTTTGTCATATGTATGACTTAAGTTGCCACAGTTGAAAATTATGATTCATTTCCCAAGGGAATGCAGAAATGTGCTTTTTTTATGTATTTGTGGCTGTGGTTGTGAATGTCTTTTAGTCCTTAAAGTCCATTTTCTTTAACATATATTAAAAAAATAGTGCTTCGTATTTAGCAATCTGTATTGATATAACACCCATCATGCAATTATGTATTCCAGAATACATTAAAAAAAATCTAACTATAAAAACTAATTAGTGTGGAAAAGTCAGATCAAACGAAACTGCAGCTTAGACTTTAATAGCAATCCATATTCTGTAGAAGAAACAGCGGTGTGAAGACCATTTCAAAGCCCAGGTGCATAACAAATAGCATCTCTTGATCCAGGGATGCATAGATTTGGAATTAGTAAGAATATGTACTGTTGAATTATAGACCCCTCATAACATATGAGTTAGTTTCTCCAGAAGATTCTGGAAATGAGCCCCAGAATAGATTTTGATTCTATAAGGCACAAAAGCATGAGTAAGACTTGCCCTGTTAATTGGAGACATATGATTGGCAACATACCTGGAAATTGATTTTACCTCAGAGTTTAAAAATACTTCCTTTTGACAGGCAATGTAAATCCTGTGGCAAAAAATGTAGGTTACCTACTGTACTATTAGCAGAAGTACTTGGCAACATTCATATTAAAAGGAATATGGCTACGTTTCAATTTGTCTCACTTACTTTGGATGGATAGTAACCTTTTATACCTCAGAATCTCTAGTATTGCACTTTTTAGCATGCTAGGCATAGCCTTGAAATCTCTTTACAATTCATAAATATCTAAGGTCCTGGCCCTGCAAAGATTTATGCACTTAGTTAACTTTAGGCAAGTGAGCAGTCCCACTGAACTTAATAGGACTATTCATGTGCATAAAGTTAGTTGTGTGTAAATCTTTGTGGGATTAAGGCCTAAATATATATTATAAAAGTATTTCTCTGGAGATTAATAAGCTAATTACTGATGCCCAATTCTATGATCTTTCCGGGGGGTATTGCATAGGGAAGGACTGCTGTATCGGGCTATTTGTTTAGAAAACTCTAATTGAAAAATTCATAAATACTTGAGAAAACAGGTATACAAGGTTAAGTTTGAGCCTCAGTCTTCAACCAAGAACATGGTTAACAAACTGCAAATATAGACCTATAACCAGGCATAGAAATGTACAATACAATTGCAAGGGACAGTGATTCCATTGCTTGGCTCCATCTTTTCATACTTTGAGAACAAGAAAGGCTTCATAAGCAGGAACATCCAGTCTGAGATGCCACAGTCCCTGTGTGTGTGTAGCTGTCAAATCTCACCTGTAAAATGAACCTACTGAGCAGCATAGCAATGTGTTAAATAGAATATTGTACAAAATTATGTGTCTCTTGGATATTTTGACTGGTTACATAACTTTGTGGGCAGTGGTTCTTCTATTTAAAAAAAATGTAAATCTCAGCAATAGTAATGCCATAGTTCTTCTTTGGACCTGTCCTTTTCTTCTCCTCTCTAATTGGCACGTTCCCCTATCCTCTTCTGCTCCTCTTTGAGCCCTGTGATTTGTTTTGTTTTAATTGTACTTTAAAAGAGGGAAAGACAATGACAAAAAGAGTGTTACTTATAGTTGAGTCTCCCCCACAAAGGGACTTGTTCTTGTCATGTCAATTTCAAATGTAAATGTCATTGTAATGCTTTTTTTAACTTCACAAATCACATTAATTGAAACTATAAAAATAAATTTATAAAACTAAGCATGCACAGGAAAATAACCCAAATGAGTGAAACAGATGGGCAGCAGGGAGACTTCTTGTATTGGGTATTTCTCTTCCCTTTAAACTCCATATACACCCTGATATAGTTATCATTTGTGACCTTATTTAGGGTTAAAACAAACAAAAATGATGCTGTGAGTTATCTCTGAAGTGGTTTCCAATTCCAAATGATCTGAAAAATAAGATCATTTCCCTCATTTATTTCTTCATGCTTCTATTTGTTCTAGCTTCCCTCCCCTGCACCCTTTATTCAACAACTAATCAGCTAATGGACCATGTTTACCCAGTTCTGAGTGTGTAAATAGTCAGTGAT